TAGAAAATAAAATAGAAGGCGCGAATCAAGATTAAAATGGATTTGGTACTTGCTAGTTATTTAATTACGTCTTGCACTATGCTTCTCTCTACTTTTTATTTGCTTGTCCACTAATGTTGATTTTTGGCAGATTTTAATTGTTATTTTCTGGTCGGCGCTCGAATTTGACAAAGACATTCACCATCCCGCCAACCCTGTCCCTATTTGCACAACTGATAATTACTTAATTATAATATTTAATATTTTTATCTCCTTACTTTTATTATTACTTTTTTTTATTAGCCCTTTAATCTTAAATATTAAACTTTATTACTAATTGCCTACTTTTTATACCTTATTTAGTTAATTAAACTGCTTAATTTCTTTACTTTCTATAATATCTTTTAATTAACTTTTAAACTTTAACTTAATATTATAACTATAAATAAACTAATTATACCTTAAAAATAAAATAGATAATTTACCTAAATATTTACTTTTTAATAATATCAGTTTTATTAAATTACCTGCTATAGTTTTAATTTATATTAACCTCCTATTTTTAAATTATACCTACCTTTTATTATTAATAGTACAGTTTTAATTTATATAGGATTTTAATTTATACTAACTTAATACAATTTAGAATTTAGAGTTAGTGCGGTTTTAATTTATATAGGATTTTAATTTGCGCTAACTTGATGCAATTTGGAATTTAGAGTCAGGATCTATTTTATAATTAATAATAGCAGTTTTTACTGCTTTAACTCTATTTAGTTCTTAATAATACTAGAGATAGTATTAACTACTTTTTATATTTATTTTACTTTAAATTTTATTATTAATATATAGTTATTCTTTAAATATACTATTACTTTATTTATAATATATATATATTTATATTTTATATAAATAAAAAATAGAAATGCCAGTAAATAATAAATAAATAGGTTTATATTATATATATATTAAGAAATTAAATAGTAGCTAGTATCTTTTTAGTTATAATACTTAATGCTTTTATCTCTTAAACTTTTATTATTACTTTCTTTTATTTAGCCCTTTAATTTTAAATATTAAACTTTATTACTAATAGGCTACTTTCTATATTTTATCTAGTTAATTAAAATACTTAAATTATTTACTTTTTATAATATCTTTTAATTAACTTCTAAATTTTAACTTAAAATTATAACTATAAATAAATTAATTATACCTTAAAAATTAAATAGATAAGTTACCTTAATCTCTACTTTTTAATAATACTAGTTTTATTAAATTACCTACTATAGTTTTAATTTATATTAACCTTCTATTTTTAAATTATATCTATCCCCTATTATTAATAGTGCGATTTCAATTTATATAGGATTTTAATTTATATTAACTTAATATAATTTAGAATTTAAAGTTAGGCCTTTTTCTATTTAAATAGTTAAATATAGATATAATAATATAAATATTACTTTTAATCTATATTATATTACTTTATTATTATTACTTTTTACTTATATTTAAATAGCTTTATAACTGGCTTTATTATATTAATACTCTTAAGCCACTTAAGTATTTTATTTAATACTTTATTAAGATACTTTAACCTTTATACTAGCTTATAGTAAAAGCTTTTAATTAATGCCTATAGCCTTATATTAGTATTTTAGGCCTTTTACTTTTAAAGCTTTAGCTTATTTACCTTAAGTATTAATAATAAACTGGCTTAATAAAGTATAAGTTTATTTTTATTTTATAAATATATTACCTACTTTATAAACTATATCTATTAGGATTTTTAATTAATATTATTTAGTGCCTTAACCTTTTTCCTTTATTTAATAGTAGCCTTTTTAAGCTCTTTTTTATAGCTTTTAATAAGCTTTAATAGCTTAAAATTAATATTAATATTAATATTAATACTATTTAAGCCTTTTCTTAACCTACTTCTATTATTTTTATAGTTACTATAATAGGTTTATATTAACTTAATAATTTAATATTTTATATAAAGAGCTCTATATAGTATTTAAAATATAATTTACTTTTAATTATATTATTATATATCTCTTTTACCTTTATTATTTTTATTTCTATTATTACTTTCTTTATAATACTTAAAGAGTATTTAATGCCTATTTTAATTAAATTAATTATAGATTAAATACTAATAACTTTTATAACTAAAATCTAGATATATTTCTAGCCTTAAGATTAATAGTTTTCTATTAGCTAATAGCTTTATATTCTTATTAATTAGGTCTTAAAGTGCTAATAGCTATAAACTAAATAGAGAGAAAGAGGCAGTAAATATAATAACCTCTTATAGTTATCTTTTAGCTATCTTATAGCAGTTATAGTAATAATACTTAACCTAATTTATATAAGGCCTAATAGTAACTAAATAGAGAAGGTAAATAAGAATATCTAGCTCTTTATATAATTAAATAACTTAGCCTCTCTCTTTCCTTTCTATTAATACCTTAGTAATACTATTTTAATAATTATTTATACTTATTATTAAGATAAATAATTAATAGTATAAATTAATATATAGATTAAAATATAGATAAATTAAAAAGGTAAATAAAAAAATAAATAAGTAAATAAAATATATTATTATAATTAATATAATATAAACTTTAATTTTAACCTATTTACTTTTTATTATTATTAGTAGTAATATTAATTCTAGTTATTTTATTTTTAACTTAATAATTTAAGGTTAAGTTAACTTTAAGGTTAGCTTAAGGTTAGCTTTTAGTTAGGCTCTTTTAGCTGGTAGTCTGCTATAAACTGCAGTTAGCGGTAAATGGCCTAAGTGCCTAACATTTTAGATCAGTTAGCTTATATTAAAGTAAATACTAACCCTACTTACTATTATAGTTTATAGCGAAATGCAGCCAGACTGGCAGCCAGGTATGAGATTCAGTTTGGTATGAACGTGCTAGGTCCCGCTCTCTTCACTCAAATTCTGCTGCCGGTCTTGCGGTCTACGGTCAAGGTCAATCTACAGGCACGTGCTGTCATACTTTACTTATCCGCCCACTCCCAAGCTCTAAAAAACGCTTACGATAACTTTGATCTCTTTCGCACCACGATTTCCCAATGGCGAACGACTGCGCGATATACTATATCTAAATTGGCTGATATTCACTATGCCAAGGCACTGTCCGAACGAGTGCCGGATCTCAAGATAATTCCTGTTCATCCCGGCATGGTAGCGACAAACCTGCATCATGAGTCCACCGGCCTTTTTCTTAAGCCGTTCCTGAATGTTGCAGTAACTCTGTTTGCAACACCTTTGGAGAAAGGTGCTTTGTCGCAAATATGGGCTTCCGTAAGCCCTGACGCCAAGACTGGCGAGTACTATGGTCCGGTTGGTAAATCAGAGTCTGGTTCAAAGCTGGCTCAAGATCACAATCTTCAAGAGAAAGTGTTCCGCTACATTCAGGCTCAGCTAGACGGATATATCGAAATCATTCAATGAAAGATTTTCTTTCGTTATCTGTATTTCCCGCATTCGATAGAAAAGTCGTATTTAAGGCGATGTATTCGAGCTATGAAAAACGTGATTGGAGGCTTGGAATTTAATTATCGATTGACGTAAGTATGCTATGGGCCGTCCTACGTATTTACAAATCGCGAGTTTATCAGCCTAGCAGTAAAAAGAAAACAAGAGGAGCCATGATGATACAAAAGGCTACCTACTTTGCCCTGGATTCTATTCTCGATTCCCCGCGTTTTTCTCTCCAATAATTTGTTGCTTGTATCAGCTCAGGACATCCTTCAAGTAAAAATCCCCATTCATTAAAGAATTGAGGACTGAATTCCCACCCAGCAGCATCCCATGAGTCGCCCCAGATCAGCAAGGATGGAATAGAATTCTCATCAAAACGTAGTAAATCACAACAAAGTCTATCACAGAGCTCATCCTCCTCGAGTTGGCCTCGTTGGATACCGCGGAGGATGTTATCTCTTAGATTAGGAAAAGGGAAGATATCGAGCCAAGAGTGATGAACGATGACCTTCTGGAGTTCTGTTGGGCATAGACTTGGAGGCAAACGTGTTTTATGGGGGTGAACAACAGGACCGTGGTAATTGAATAATGAGTGGTGTTCATCTGTCTCAAGGTATTCATATGGGATACTTAGCACCATGGCATTGCGGGCAAGAGCGTCGAAGGCATTCAGTCGTGACAAATTTGGTAGATCCTGTGGTTGCGGTGAGTTGAGGCTCCAGTTTGCAGTGGCTCTCTGTAGGAATTCCAACGCGTCGCGCCGCAAGTTCGGCCACTTGAGGAGGAGAAACATTGGGCGCTCTGCAAGTCTGTTGCCATGCACAGGATGCCGTTCGACGCGACCAACCTCTGTACTGAGAGACTTTGTCGGCGTTGGATTGGTGGCTTGATTACTATCCGCAGACTCCTGTACTGCGGCTAGATTTCTGTGGTGTCTTCTTCTCCCTACAACGACTGGCTTAGCCTCAACAAACTCGGTCTGGATACGAGAGACTCACTGTAGGCTCGTTGGTTGAGCCGATTCTGCAATTTTCTCCGCTTTGCAGAGCTTGTGAGGCCAAACCAAACATCTTCCGAGTCCCAGGCTTCAGTAAGTTTAGAGGATGACATGGCCAGGGCCGAGGAGAGTGGGTGTATGAGAAGTAACAACACGAGACCTGGTAAAAGAAAATCTGGACAAGGGGGTAAAGAGTTCATTTATTTCATTTGGTTGGCTATTTCAACATCCTGTAGGATAGATCCAATGTGTGCTTAATAATAACTCCATTCAGATGGTGGAGCACACTTAAGCTAATTGCTGACATCCCTGCAAGCCACATGGTGACTGCCGGCTGGATTAGGGCAAGCCCAGTCGTAATCGCGCAAGCCTAAATCTGACTTGAGGCCTTGAAGGCATCAAGTTTGTCACAGTAGACCGTTCAAGGCTAACCCTAACTCGGCATAATAAGACGATCGGTTTCGGTTAACAGCTGTTCCACTCGTTGATTTCATCACAAGTCTGCTGATTTAATAAAGAGTCTAGGGGAATAAAAGAGCAAATACTTCTACTATTAGCTAGTTAAAAAAAAATGAAGATCATACTTCAAATTCTAAAATCTTCGCGCCATTCCCCACAATGTACCAGCAGATCAATTTGCTCTAGCGGACCGGGAGATATACGTGGCCAGGGAGCCTCATGATGCTGAGATTGAGGAACACGTACTGAACGTGGTTCAAGACAGCCTATATGAGACGCCTAAGGCCCTTCAAGTGAGTATATTCTGAGGTACAGCTCACAGTGGCATCGAACTAGCTAGGAAATGTTCTCGTAACCAAGAGCTACTGCAATTGGAATGAAATCGGGCTACATGGCTTCATGTCATTGCCCGTAATGCTACGCGTTCTCAGTGTGAACTTATCACCGACTTGCTCTCAGCCCTTGACGATTCCCGAAGAGCGTCAGGTCAAGCGACTCGTCTTCATCTTGCGGCTGGTGGTGGCAGTTGAGAAACCACTTTGTGTTTGTTGAACCAGATTGGAACTCAGTCAACAGCTCAGCCGACCAAGTCAAAAGCTCTGACAATTCTGAATACCGATAGTCTGAAGATCCGACGCGGAGAAAACTGCCCACTCCACCGGACGGTGCCGTATACTGTTCCCAGACCACCGTAGTCTGATGGCTTTTTCCACAATCATCAATCATGCACACCGATAGAGGCCAAGCAAGATCTAGAGGATATGCTGGTCGAAGTCGAGACGATTAATGACTCAGTGGAGTTACCTACCCTATAAAAATAGGTGTTGTGCTGACGTGACCATAGATCAACACCCTTATCGACCTGCGACAGAAGCAGGCTAGCATCAGCCAGGCTAATGACACGGCGAAACAGCCCAACACCATATTTTTGTTTACGATAATCAAAATCGTATTTGTGAGTGATGCATACATGACATTGAGAAACCTGGATGTTTTGCGCCGACGAATCGCTCGTACGCAGCTCCCTCTTTCATTTTTATCGTCGTTGTTCGCCCTGGACGTGGCGAGCTTTCCGTACAAGTCCGATGAGCTGAATCACCAAGGATGGTGGCTATTCAACATTCTCTGTGAGTCATCAGCCCTCATTATGGAGATGGAACACTAACATACATCTAGGTGGCGTGTCAGCTATTATCTTCGTCCCTACCATCTTGCTCGCTTAGAAGGTCAACAACATATCGGAATAGTTTCGACTGCCGCGAAAAAAAGCTTGGGAAAGATCGGTCATAAGAACAATGACCAAGAAGTGGGTGATCCAAAGACATGGGGTCTTAGAGACCTCGCTAGACGGACATTGCATCGACGACGGAGAGCTCCCCGAAACCCAGTAACCTGGTTCACGGGTATGATAGACGCATGGGCTTGACTTTGGCGGCCGATTCGCTTGCCAATGTGGAAGCTGAAAATGAGAGCTGAAAGTTTCGAGAACCATGCAATGCGTGCGAATTGCTTTTTATAACGCTCTAATAACCTGACGAAATCTGAGGCGAGACTAGCGTTGACCGCTCTGGCCACCGATGTTCAGCTAACACCCTGGCACCTCGACACTTTGGTATAGATCAACGAAAATTCCCGGCAATAATAGAATAAATATCTCGGATGGGCTAACAACAATTAATTACCTAACACAATCGGTGCCTGACCGACCCCACTCCGCCATTTTTAGATCAGGCTTGATATCAATCAAATATCCTGTCCTCCTCACCGACTTCACCCAACATTGTAAACAATCGCCATCTATCGCACTAAATCATCGCAAAAATGAAACAAATCTCCCAAAACCTGAGCGCTGTTGAATCTGCTGTAGCACAGCTTTGTGCTGCGCTACGAGGTGATGCACAATCAGAAAATGGACAGGTACCGCCTTTCCAGGCCCCCTTGACAAACATGAGTTGACCATGTCTATAGACTCGTATCAATACGGAAGCAATCAACTTGCAGTGTGCCCTTCAAGCTATGGGGGACTCCCAGTCAGCAATTGAGAGCTCTGGTGACGACACCAAGAAGAAGGCCCTCCAAGACTTGATTGGCCCGGTAAATTTAATGGCTTGGAGATGCACTTGGTGGCTGCTAACATTCGAGCCGTGTAGTTTTCCAAAGGCCTTAGCCAATTCGCAAAAATCATCACAAATGTCTACGATCGTGGACCTCTTCCTGATAATGTTGCATCAGATTTGAAGCCTGTTCTGGCCAAGTATGAAGTGGTTCAAAAGGTTAGCACCCCGCATCGTATTGAAAGAAGTTAATTAATGTGAATAAACAGTCTTATCAACAGCTTGCTACGGATAGTGGCCTTAACATCGATTTATACATGCCTGGAATGTCGAATGTACTGCCAACCAATGTGGAGGAGGCCTTCGGCAAGCTTGGCGGGCGGTAGAGCAAGGCCGCTGATATGGCAGTATATTTTCGTTTTGGTTTAATACCCATATACTTCATCCCCAAGCTATCGAAACTCATCACGGTAGTATCTTGAAATATTGGACCCGCAACAATACCGTTACCTAAACTCGCGTTATGGGGTCCTTGGCTTATATCTCTGATTCTCGATACTTCTGACGTATCAGAATATGCATCGCGCTCTCAGAATATTAACAGTAGCCGCCGTATACTCCGAGTATGCAAGCTCACTGCATTTTCGTGATTAATGCTAACTCTGCAATTGGGCAGAGGGGCAGGCGAGGTCTTGTGCATGGACTGGGCTGCATAATGAGCAGCGGATCTGCAGATCTATTGTTATCGCTATTGGTCGTGAAGATTGGCGCATGTAGTCAGAGTTTCCTTTTCTCCGGGGTATCTTCCTCATATGGAACATTGCACATTGACTTCCGAAAAAGGTCGTATCTGGTGCATAGATGCCATCAGCCCTGTGATATCTTGATACACATATAATCACTCTTCTTCCCGCTTTTATTCATTTCACTCTTGGCTTCATTCCCCGCACCGGTCTTGACTTCTCTGAGTCATTTGTAGAAGCTCCTTATAATATCTTTTCTACCAACCTCAACCACTTCCATAAAATGCCTAACGTCAATCTTTCTGTCCTAAAAGCAACCATATTGTCTCTTAAACATCATTTTGTGGGATCGTTCTTCTTACTCTTGGCTCTGAGCTATGTTTATAACAGGTATCGGCCTGATCTTTCTCGTATTCCCGGACCGTCCCTCGCAAAGTGGACAAAGCTTTGGAGACTTTACGATGTTTACAAAGGTCAATCTCATCAGACGGCTATCGGACTACACAAAAAGCACGGCCCACTTGTTCGAATAGCACCCAACATTATATCTGTTGGTGATCCTGCAGCCATCAAAACCATCTATGGATTGACTGGCGCATTTACCAAGGTTAGTCAATTAACCCCTCTGGCTATATGCTTATACTTACATCGGCTCTTCAGTCGGCATTCTATCCTATTCAAAGTATTTCTTGGAATAAGAAACCGCAAATGAACCTTTTTTCAACACGGGACCCTGTTTATCACAGAGAACAGAAGAAGAAGGTTGCGCACGCTTACAGCCTGACCAGTCTTCTCGGATCTGAAGAGGCAATCGACTCCTGTACTAAACTCTTTACTTCACGTCTCGACGAATGGACCACGACCGAAAAGCCCATTGATCTAGGCGCGTGGCTTCAGTATTATGCTTTCGACGTCGTTGGTGAAGTGACCTTTGCACAGAAGCTCGGCTTTCTGGAAACGGGTGCAGATGTTGACGGCATGATGGAAACCATTGAAGGTATCCTCTTCTACGCATCTATGTGTGGACAGGTCCCTGAAATGCACCCATTTCTGCTTGGCAACCCATTGTTTTCGTATTTGATTCCCGCCATGGAGTCGTGGAATGCAGTCTTGACTTTCACCCTAAAGACCATCAATTCTCGTATAACTATTAAACGAAACGGTGAACTGGAGCTTAGCGATGACGGAACCAGGGACTTCCTGTCAAAGTGGGCAGCAGTAAAGAACAAGGACCCGCTCAAGATGAGTACCCGAGACGTTATTACACATCTCTCAACAAACGTTTTTGCTGGATCAGACACTACCGCCATAGCTCTCAGAGCAATTATTTACTTCCTTATCAAACATCCAGAAAAGATGAGAAAGGCTGTAGCAGAAATCGATACGGCTGATGAAAACGGAAAGCTCAGCGATCCTATCTCATACAAGGAATCCACTACTCACCTGCCATACATGGGAGCTGTGATCAAAGAAGCAATGCGGCTACACCCCTCTGTTGGGCTACTCATGGAGCGACATGTCCCACCTCAGGGGGCAGAGATATGCGGACAATTCATTCCTGGAGGCACAATTGTCGGCATCAACCCAAGGGTTCTTCACTCGGACCCCGCAGTGTACAAGGATCCTGAAGCCTTTATTCCTGAGCGCTGGCTGACTGCAGACGCGGAGTTACTCTCTAAGATGGAAAATAGCTTTTTGTCTTTCGGTGCAGGCTCGAGAACTTGCATTAGACGGTACATTAGCCTTATGGAAATGCACAAGGTGGTACCGCAGCTACTCAGGAAGTATACTATTGAGCTAGAGGATCCTAAGGTTGAGTGGCGAACATCGAATCGTTGGTTCGTACGGCAACATGGGCTTATTTGCACCCTGAAGAAAAGAACATGAATTGGAGAAGAATTCAGATTTAAGACGGCAAGACTATATATTCGCGATATCTTATATAGGCCACAAAAAAGCCAGTTGAAGCTCGTTTTTGGATGCTGCAAAAGAAAAAGAAAAGAAAAAAGTAATGCCTCTCTAACACACAGCCACAGACAAACCTGTCTCGGATTGAAGAACCGTAAAACTCCTAGTTTCCTGTTAATAAGGACGATAATCTTTCTATTTGTTACTACAAATATTAAGTAGATTCCGTGGTGGGGTGGTGAATACTGACTAATTCTTACAAAAGTAAAGACGATATATACACAACTATTGCCTTTACTATGCCACCTATAGCTGCTAAAACGAGTTCTACAGAGATTCGCCTTAACCAACAATCGCTAGCATCCATTCTGATTTACCTAGGCTTGTTATAAACAGAATTCTACTCAACCTGCTTCTCATGTCTTCGCTGATCCGAGCTAATCCAGTAAACTCCCTTCCGTGCTTGGATCAATGGGTCGTTAGACGACTTGATACCCTCAATACCGCCATTCTCCGGGTTAGGCTTGAAGGCGATCTGTTGCTGCTTAGCCGCATTGTCATCTGAAACCTTGTTGATCTCCAGCTTGCCAACAGGGATGAACGTCTTGCTTTGGTATGGTATGGTAGCGTCATCTAGCACGTCGTCCGGACCAGCAATATGCGCTTGAATGGTAAGCACGATTGGCTTGCCTGGGAAGCGCTCTCGGAGGTCATCCTCCAAGTAGTCGTTGCCTAGCTTTGCAAGCACTTCTTTATCCTCAGGAGTCTTGTTGGGGTAAAGGTGCTCTCCATCAGTGGGGTCAAGACGGTAACGGACATTAGTGACACGTCCGTCTTTGTTGGTGAGGACATGCGTATTGGGCTCGTAATACGTGATAGTTCCGTAGTTATGAGGATTGGGCTTCTCCGAAGCGACAAATACAGCAGCAGACTTGTGCTCAGGGTTTCCAAGGAAAGACAGAAAGGCAGCATGAGCCTGGTCATAAGCCTTCTGCTCCTTAGAGTAGTCTCCGCCGCCAGCCTTGGCTTTCTTGAGCTGCGCCTCAGTAAACCCATCAGCGCCAAAGAGCTTCAGGAAGGTCAGAAAATCCTCGCCATTTCGGGTTGCAAATCCATTGAATGAGTGGCTGATGAGATCGGTGTGAGTGTTCTCGTCAATCTGGAAGCGAATGGCAACGCCCTTGGGTGTAGCACCATCGGCCACGTCTGCAACATGGGGGAGACCGCCACCGACAGAAAACCGAGCAATGACCTTAGTCGAAGGATTGTCGAAGTGGGCAGCTGTGGAAAGCTTCTTGGCCTCTTCTGTGGGCGTAAAGGTGCCCTCGACAAGCAGGCCTTTGGCATGAGCTAAAGGGGCAAATTGTGAGCCCTGAATCGAGATCGGTTGTCTAGAAATACTTACTTGTTCGGTAGCCAGGGTGCTTGCCAAATATTGCTTGCATAGCATTGACCAAGTCCTGAGGGAGCTGGTCTTTTGGCGGCTGCGTCTCAAGTGATGAAACTTTTGGGGCAGGC